AGTGTTGGAGTCGCCATCCCTGGAGGGATTTAAAAGATGAGCAGATGTGGTGCTGAGGGACATGGTTTAGTGGTGGTGTTGGCAGTGTTCAGTTAATGATTGGACTAGATGATCTTGCAGGTCTTTTCCAATCGAGGAGATTCTGTGATTCTGCGAAAAAGAAGCCAGAAGAATGTTTTTAAATTCACAAATCCTTAAAACTTATCACCCGTGCCAAGATGGGGAGGGGGGAAAGTGGGTTTTCTGGGAATTGAAAGCGGTGTTTGAGGTATCCAGTGGCTTTATAGAATTAGGAGACTTCTTGAAGCTGCTGAGCGCTAGCTGGTGGCCTTTATCCACTGCTTCGGCTTACTTCTCATCTCTCCTTCCACCATTCAGTCAAGTTACGTTCTCCTTGTATATCAGGTTGTACCACCCTCTATGAGTGTCATTGCCGTGCCTTTTTTTTTTTCAAAATGCACAAAAAAAATAACATTTATTTCTCTGTATGTATATGGACTTCTGATTTCAAAGGTTACTTATAAAGCTGAGGTGACACTTTATTCCTTGACTTAAGCTGAAATAAATTTGAAAAGGACATAGACGATTAAAATGCATAAACTCGGCCTTCAAATACCCCAAACTTCTGTCATATATTTGGATTCTTCCTGTATTAAGAAAATAGGTTATTGAAACAAATAATATATAAGATGCTTAAGGATATATTGCAATATATTGCATGAGGTGCTGCATTTAAAAATGGCATTTTAGCGAACGCTTACTGGTCATGAATTAAAATTGCATGTATACGATTATTTCTGTTCCAGTTTGACTTTTAAGCACTTAACCAGGAACATATGATGTTCTTCACGTCATTTATTGTACAGAATATTTCTAATTTAAATTCTGCTGTTGCTTAGCCCAGATGTTAAAGTAAAGAAGTTCCGTAACTATTGTGCATTGCATTTTAAAATTTCCCATATTCAAGTTTGTGTATTTAAGAAAACATCTCTTCTAACTGGATAGTTTCAGAACGTTATGGGGAATTTATTTTAATTGTTTTTTTCCTTTTTCCCCCCTCCAGTTTGTTTTCTTTGTTGTCTAAAAAACACAACAAAGTGTTGGAGCAAGCCACGCAGTCCTTACGAGGTTCCCTCGGTTCAAATGACTCTCCGCTTCCCGATTATGTGAGTATCAAACTTAACGTTTTTAGTAAGCGCTTCAAAATAGAAGTGGCACATCCCAAAATCTGCAAAGATTTATCAAAATGTGGGACGGCTAAGGAACCACCGACACCAAAATACAGGAACCTGTATGAATGATGTCATGTCTGAAATGTCTTTTTTTTTTTTTTAAATAAAAATAAAAATTACACTTACAAATGGCAAAACAAAACCGCAACTATTCATAGCTGAGAGACTTACTGTACACTGTCAGCTTGCCGTTCGCAAGCCGTGTGTATTTCAGGATATTTAAATCATACAGTTAAAGCCATTATTTTGAAGAATGGGGCTTTGGCATCCACGGTATGTTAAAATGATTGAAACCGGTTCTCTAAAAATGCCGGAAAACAATTCCCGATGAGCCTTTTGTGGAGGGTGGGAGTGCTGCAGTCGTGGGGACAAATCGGTACGTTCTGAACACGGGAATACGTACAGTCCTCTTCAGTTTATTGAGTCAGTACCCACAAATAGGCAACAATTTTGTAATTTAATTGCACGGCTCGTTGGAAAACCTCTAGTTTCAGTACAAGGAGACGTCTTCCAAGGACTTGAATAATATCTTTGTACTACTTGAAGTGTCTTTGGTTTGTACTCATTTGAACTCTCGCTGCAATACTGTGTTAAAAAAGTTGATTTATCAGTTGCTCGGGATTTTTGAGGATGAAAATGTAACAACTGTTTTACTTTCGATGTTGATACGTGTTCTGGGACATGCCTGTCTGAGACTTTACTGCCATATTTCTCTAAGTATAAAAGTACCTAAAAAGATAATTTGATATAATAGTCAAAAGAAGTGTGGCCAGCAAGGCAGTGGGCTGTGAGGAGAGGCTGGGAGACGTGGGGGGGTTCAGCCTGGAGAAGAGAAGGCTCCGGGGAGACCTTAGAGCCCCTTCCAGTATCTCCAGGGGACCTACAGGAGAGCTGGGGAGGGACTTTTTCAAAGGGCATGTAGTGATAGGATGAGGGGGAATGGCTTCAAACTGGAAGAGGGGAGATTTAGATGAGATATTGGGAAGAAATTCTTTGCTGTGAGGGTGGTGAGGCATTGGCCCAGGTTGCCCAGAGAAGCTGTGGCTGCCCCATCCCTGGAGGTGTTCAAGGCCAAGTTGGACGGGGCTTGGAGCAACCTGGGCTGGTGGGAGGTGTCCCTGCCCATGGCAGGGGGGTTGGAACTAGATGGTCTTTAAGGTCCCTTCCAACCTAAACCATTCTATGATCTGACCTTTCGTTTTTGGAACTTGAAACACTTCAGCAAGAACCCCCTCAAGTTAGTTTGTGGTTAAAGAGCAGGCGATCCCACTTCTGTTTGCCTGGGAAGGTGATACACAAGCTAGATAAAGCTCTTTCCTCTGCGTGGACACGAACAACTGACAGCCCCCGAGACATTGAACACTTTGGAGAGGATTTGGTGGCCTTTTCCCGTGGGTTCATGTCTCAAGGAACAGCGGCTCATGGTGTAGGGGCTTCCACAGTTGTGAGGACTGCAATATTTTGGATGCGTTGAGCATTTTTGAGTGTTCTGATTGATGGTGCTCTTGGGGCTGTGTTTCTTGGAGGTGATTAACCCCGGTGTCATGCCCGGTTCCAGCTTAAGCAATTACACTGCTGCTTATTGAAATCCTTCCTGTGGTCTTGTGGCTCTTTATTTAGCTGTCCTGGAGAGCTGTGGGGCTTTAGTTGGCTTTCAGAGCAACGGGAGGCTGCTTCTATGGAGGTGATGTTTTTTCATACCAGAGGTGTATCATACGGTATCATGTTGGGGGTGTTCAGTCTGGAGAAGAGAAGGCTCTGGGGAGAACTTAGAGCCCCTTCCAGTCCCTAAAGGGGCTCCAGGAGAGCTGGGGAGGGACTCTTGATCTGGGAGGGGAGCCATAGAATGAGGGGAATGGTTTTAAACTGAAAGAGGGGAGATTTGGGTTAGATATCACAAAGAAATTCTTTATTGTGAGGGTGGTGAGCCCCTGGCGCAGGTTGCCCCGAGAAGCTGTGGCTGCCCCATCCCTGGAGGTGTTGAAGGCCAGGTTGGACGGGGCTTGGAGCAATGTGGTCTGGTGGGAGGTGTCCCTGCCCACGGCAGGGGGGTTGGAATGAGATGGTCTTCGAGGTCCCGTCTAACCCAAACGATACCTTCTAGACCATACCACGCTATACCATGAGCTGGTTCTGCATAACATGCACTATCCCAGCCCAGAGTGAAGTGTTTATGGGCACAGGGGCTCCATAAGATGGAATTGCTGTTAAATGCTGTGTGTTTTGAAGCTAACCTCCGAGACGTTGTGGGGTCTTGATGAAATAACTGTCAAGCATCTTCAGATGCCTGCGGAATAGGGCTGAAATTTCTCGTGCTCACTTTCATCCTTAATGCAGCGCCTGCAGCAGTACGTGGCCCATCGTCAGAAGGAGAAAGACACCCTGATATTTTCTTTCTTAGACAAACAAATTACCATCCGCACTGTTCAGAGGAAAGAAAACGGCATGATACACATGTCTGTAAAAGAGCAAATATAAATAAATATATATATGCACATACCTAGGCATATATTTACATATATGTGAACATATGTATCTGTATATATTTTGGGGTGTGTAAGAATTTGGGGCTTGAAAACTCTTTTAGAGATTTTGGACTTAACTTACTGGATGCGAACTATACTGCAGTTAAGGAAAGATCCAAGGTGCTCTCTGTACGTAGTTATCCCCTTTAGATGGAGCCAACTGAGAAACACCGTTTCTGGAGCCGTGCTGGGGAAGTGCTCTGGAGCGCAGCCTGCGGACTTCGACGCTTCACTGAATTTCTTCCCTTTTATTGTTGGTGTGACGTCGGGAGGGAGGGGAGAAGGACAGCAGTTGGAAAGGTTGCTGTAGGGGAGAGTAAAATCGCTGAAGTTCGTTGAGTGTATTTGGAAAGAAGAATTTATGCTTTCATGCACGGCTTTTTTTTTTCGTATTTTTTTGCTCCGAATTGTTTAAGTTCCAACTCAGTCTGAGGCAAAGGCAGTTGACTTAATAGAATTTGAGGCCAGATTTCATTTACTTCGGCAAATTCTGCTTCTGAAAGCCGGCGTTTGTGTTGCCTGTAAGAATAGCAAAAAATCTGGGAACAGAGATGACTTTAGCGTCTGAAATCCTGAAGCTGGTGCTACCACCGTATCCCAGCGTGGAGCTAAAGGGAAGGGAGAGCACTGAGGTTGCCCGCTCTGCCCAGGTTTATGTCTAGAGAGGAGGAGGATCGCTTTGGAGGCTCTTCTCTTCATAGGTTTCAATTAGATCAGTCCAACACGCGCTTTAAAAGGGGGATTTCTCATGTTTTTAATTCTTTTAAAATTTATTTAATTCATTTCATTTATAAATGAGATTTTTTTTCTTACGGTGTTGGGCAATCCAAAAGTGAATTTTCATTGTATTTGCGTTGCAAGGGTTAAAAAGTGCATAAAATTATTCCAGGTCTTACCTTCCTTTACGTGCCTTTCTGCTCATTTAAGGGCAAGTGGAGGGTACTGCATCTGGGGAGGAATAAACCCATGCACCAGTACAGGTTGGGGGCTGACCTCCTGGAGAGCAGCTCTGTGGAAAGGGACCTGGGAGTCCTGGGGGACAACAGGATGCCCATGAGCCAGCAATGGGCCCTGGTTGCCAAGAAGGCCAATGGCATCCTGGGGGGCATCAAGAAGAGTGTGGCCAGCAGGTGGAGGGAGGTCATCCTCCCCCTCTGCTCTGCCCTGGTGAGGCCACATCTGGAGCGCTGTGTCCAGTTTGGGGCTCCCCGGGTCAAGAAGGACAAGGAACTGCTGGCGAGGGACCAGCAAAGGGCTGCAAAGATGATGAGGGGACTGGAGCATCTTTCTGCTGAGGAAAGGCTGAGGGACTTGGGGCTTTTCAGTGTGGAGAAGAGAAGACTGAGGGGGGATCTTCTCCATGCTTCTAAATCCTTCAAGGGAGGGTGCCGGGGGGATGGGAACAGTCTTCTTTCAGTGGTGCCCAGTGAGAGGACAAGAGGGAACGGGCACAAACTTGACCATAGGCAGTTCCATCTCAACCTGAGGAAGGACTTCTCTGCTGGGAGGGTGGCAGAGTAGTGGCACAGGCTGCCCAGAGAGGTCGGGGAGTCTCCCACTCTGGAGCCATTCCAAACCCGCCTGGACGCCGTCCTGTGCCACTGCTGGAGGTGCCCCTGCTCTGGCCGGGGATGGCACTGGGGGAGGTCCAGAGGGCGCTTCCAACCCCTATCATTCTGTCATTCCGTGATTCTGTGATTTGTGAGTGCTACACTTCCTAAAACAAATGATGGTAAAATACGACATGTTCCTTCTTTGGGCTAGGGAGGCTATGGAAGGAAAAAGGCAGCATCAGCGATCTTGGATCAAGCCCCGTCCCTTGTGAGCATCCTGTGACGGAGAGGTGCTGGGGCACAGTGTACCCATGCCGTAACACAGGCACACAAAAGGAGAAGATGGAGATGAGATGAGATGAGATGGACATCTCTTAATTCCCGAGTGCTTGAGCAGTAGTAGTGTTTCCGCCGCACTTTGTTTTCATTACTGTAAATTTTTAACCTAATACGCAGTCCCTAAACTGCTGATTATTCATAGTGCTAAGAACATATTGGGATTCTCCTCTTTTTTTTATTTTTTGTGGTCTTTCTGTGAGTATCTTCCATGGACTACCATCAGGGCTCTGGTGTACTAACGAAGCTGCGGCTATCTTGCTGTGAACTGGAATAAGGATCTGACCCAGTTGGCTTTTATAGTGGTCTCGTTGAGGGTTTTCTGAGCTTGAAAAAAAAAGAAAAAGAGCTATAATGTTATGTTTATTAAGCCCAGACCAGTTTCTTGGTCCTTTCCTGATAAACTCTTGTCAATAGAATGGGATTCAGGAGTAGGATGGAGAAGCTGTTGAGGAGGAGAGGAGAACCATCATCAAACCATCATCTCGGAGTCAGGATCCATGGTTAGACCAATTCTCAGGCTACTTCATTTACTAGTTGTTTAATAAGCTTTATTACTAAGCGTTATTTTCATAGTAGCGACGACCTGTTTTGAAACACTTCCGTTAAGTTGTCCTCGTCCGCGAGTATCTCCCAGCTTGACGAAATGGGAAAA